CCCCGTTTGCTGTCCTTAGAAGACAGAGTTGATTTAATTCTAGCTTGCATGAGATACCCAGGTTCATAAATTAGCCACTAAACATTGCTTTTCTTTGTTATTTTGTCTCTTGCAGTCTTCCAGTTCACTTCCAAATGCATTTGTGATTTGTTTTAAAAGAGAACTTGCTCCTTGTTCAGATCTAATATTTCAAAACAAACAATAACATAGCAGTTTTAAAACAGATGCGTAAAATGGTTTATCCTTAGGAAAACGTTCAGAATTCTGCGGCACCCGATTTGACAGAACTGTGATGTTATTACTTCTTACGTTTATAACTTGTAAGCCTTTGCTGTAGAAAAGAACAGCTGCCATTTTACTGTGGTCATAATAAGTATCATGTTTTCTTCCACCTGTGCTCAGGATGTGACAGGTAAGTGATACAAGTGCTTAGGCAAGGAATCCTAGAGCTGGGGTGCGTGGAAGACAACAAATGCCTTATAGTATGCTATGAAATAGCAACTTAAAATATTGATAAAAAAATCCTTCTTATATTGTTTAACCATTTTAAAAGTTCATATGATGGAGAAAGAAATATGACCCTTTAAGCATTTTACATATGGTTTAAGTTGGTGACTTTCAGATGCTAGGAGAACCAGCTAGAAATATTTTATCTACGGCACTAAATATTATTTGCAAATTTTGGTATGTAGAAACAAAAATCTATTTACAGAATTTTGTCTTAACTCTTGATCTCTGGCTCTGCTAGTGAGTTGATAATACCTCTGGTTGTCCCTCTTATAGCTTCTATGCACAACTATTTTAATTCCATATAATATGTCTTTTGTAAACTCACAAATGACATAGCAGTATTACTGTTCATTTATACCATCAATATTTGTTTAGATTTAACCGTATGTTTATCTTTTTTTTTTTTTTTTTTTGAGACAGAGTCTCGCTCTGTTGCCCAGGCTGGAGTGCAATGGTGCGATCTTGGCTCACTGTAACCTCTGCCTCCCAGCTCAAGCAATTCTCCTGCCTCAGCCTCCCAATTAGCTGGGACTTCAGGTGCGTGCCACCACACCCAGCTAATTTTTTATTTTTAGTAGAGATGGAGTTTCACCATGTTGGCCAGGCTGATCTCGAACTCCTGACTCAGGTGATCCACCCACCTCAGCCTCCCAAAGTGCTGGGATTATAGGTGTGATACACCACATCTGGCCATATGTTTATCATTTATTCTCTATTCTCAGATCTTCTTGCTGAGATAATAACCCTTCTTCTTGAAGGGTATCCTTATTTAGAAGCTCCTTTACTGTGGGTCTTCTGTTGGTTTAACCACTGTTAAGCTGAAAATGTCTTGATAGAGAGTTTTCCTGGTTATTCACCTCTAAGATGTGAGATAGTTTGTCTCAGCCCTTGAGGATTTTGTTTCATTGTCATCTGGCTTCTAATTCTGTGAGGCAGTTACTTTTGCTAGTTTAGTTGCTGTTTCCTTTTTCTCTGACTGCTTTGACAATTTATCTTTGTCTTTAATCTATGGTATCATTATGTGTATAGATATGGGTTTTTTTTTTTAATTCACTCTTCTTGGGATTTTTTTGGTCTTTCTGAATTGAATGGTTCATGTCCCTTATCAATTTTGGTAAATTCTTAGCATCGTGCCTTTGAATATTATGTCTACCCTATTCCCTTTTATTTTTTTTCTTTAAAACTTTGAGGAAATGTATGTTGGATTGTCTTATTCTGTCTTCCATGTCTCTTAACTTCTTTTTAAAATATTTCACATTTCTTTGTTTCCCTGTGCCCTTTTCCGAGTAATTTCTTCAGACCTATCCCCCAGATCACTAATTCTTGCTTCATTTGGGTCTAAATTGCTGTTTTACATGTATATTGAGTTTAAAATTTGTTAATTATAAAATTTTTATTTCTAAATGTGTTAAAAATATTTCAGGCCAACTTTTATAGTCTCTTGCTCATTACTCATGTTTTCAGTCTTCTCTTTAATATTATAAATGAATTCAATAGAACTTTAAAAAATGGATCTCATAATTCCAGTATCTAAAGTCTTTATAGATCTGATTCAAATTAGTTGGCCTTTTTAAAAAATACTTTTTTCATGGGATTTCTCTTGACTTTTGTTCATGGTACTCTGCTTTCTTAAGTATTTTATAATTTCTAATTCTGTGCTCTGCAGCTCTGGCTGCAGGAATACTTTGAAACCAGGCTGTGAGTGTGTTCTTCTGGGCATGATGTATGTTAGCTTCTGACAGGTGCTAGAGACCTGGTCCACTTTAAATTATGACTCAAGCATACAGTTGTCAGGACCAGAGAAGTAATACAGGGACGATGTTTCGTGCCATAACTGTACAAAGTCAAAGTTCAGATGTATATTTTTCCTTTGTTTGTCTTAAACAACAGAAAGTTATTGTCTCACCATTCTGGAGGCTAGAAGTCCAAGTTCAAGGTGTGGGTTCCTTCTGAAGCCTGTGAGGGAGAATCTGCTGCAGGGCCCTCCCCTAGCTGCTGGTGATTTGCTGTCAAAATTTGATGTTCTTTGACTTGTAGATACATCATCATGATATCTGCCTTCATCTTCACATGGTGTTCTACTTCTGTGTATGTCCAGATCCAAATTTCCACTTTTATTTGAGACGAAGACTCACGCTGTCTCCCAGGTTGGAGTGCAGTGGTGTGATCTCAGCTTATTGAACCTTCTGCCTTCTAGGTTCAAGCGATTCTTCTGCCTCAGCCTCCCAAGTAGCTGGGATGACAGGCATGTGCCACCATACCTGGCTAATTTTTGTATTTTTAGTAGAGATGGGGTTTCGCCATGTTGGCAAGGTTGGTCTCGAACTCCTAACCTCATGATCCACCTGCCTTGGTCTCTCAAAGTGTTGAGATTACAGGCATGAGCCACCGAGCTCAGCCCAAATTTTCACCTTTTATGAGGTCATCAGTATATTATATGAGGGATCCACCCTACTTCAGTATGACCTCATCCAGGCTGATTACATCTACACTCACCCTGTTGCCAAATATGGTCATATTGTGAGGTCCTGGGGGCTGGGATTTCAATGTAGGAATATTGGGAGCACGTAATACAAGTCATAGCAGTGTCTTAACTTGGATTTAACCCTCAGAAAGCAAAGCCTGAGACATGGATTTATGTGCATATTTTATTCTAGGCCATGATTCTGAGGAACAGAAGCGAGAGACTGAGAAGAGTCCAACAGGGAAAAGGGAAAGTCAGTCCAGGGTGCTCTCAAGTCGATCTGCATTGGAAGCCAGTAGCTCCTTTTGCCGTCTTCTGAAAAGTGGACATATTTCCTCCTAACTCACTCTTTGAGATTATGACACTTCCTGCCTCCACTTTTGGAAAATGGTCTTCAATTGGGTTCTTACCTTGTCTAGGCGAACACTTGTCCCTTGGTCCCCTGTGGCCTAAACAGCAGGCCACCTGGTCCAGTACCTGCCTTGGGTCCCCAGTCTCTGCCCTAATGTAGCTCCTGTTTTATTCCTGCACTCAGCACTTTCTCCTTACTGTCTTGCAGGCCATCCAGTCACTTAGAAGATGGTTTTCAAACATTTCTTAAGTAATCTTAAATGTTCCGAAGTAGGGAGTTTTAAGATCTCTAGTCTGCTATATTGCTAGAAATAGAATAGAAATGACTTACTTAAAAAAAAAAAGTAAACTCAAGACTATCCTTATACCATTTCACACAGATGTGTTCTGATAGACTGCTGGATTAGAGAAATGGGGTGTTGTTATGGATTGTGATAGTTGCTCAGTCCCCTGGCCTGGGCTGCCGAGGACAGTCCCTGGGCCCTGGGCTTTCATCAATGGCTGGGCTATCACTTGTCCTGTTTCTCTAGGCTACATTGTATCTGAATTACAGGTGGAGAGGCCTCAGGTTACTAAATGATAATGTCAGCTGTCACAAGGTTAAGGAATAAACACGTTTGAACAGATGTTGGGATAATGTTGGCACTTGTCAGAGCTTGGTATCCTTGGATTCCATTTATTTATCAAACTGTTATCGATTGAGCTCCTACTATAGATCATTTACTGAGCTGGGCACTGGGGAGGCAGGTAAACAGTGCCTGTCCTTAGGAAGCCCAGAATCTAGTGAGCAGACAGTTCATTTCGGTGAGCACGATAAGGACAGGGAGAAGTCTAGGGCGAGGCGCCAACCCAGCTTTAGAGCAATGAGGATGAAGCGCCTATCTGTGCTGCATCTGAAGGGCCAGTAGGAGCCATCCAGGTAGAGAACCAGGGAAGCACATTCCAGGTGGCGGTGAGAATGTGCACAGCCATGGAGGCCACAGGGTGTTTGGGTTTGGGGAACTGCAGGTTCCAGAGCATAGCTGGGAAGGCCTGAGAGCGGGGCAGGAAATGATGGAAGCTGAGCCTGCAGGAAGCCTGGGGCCTTCATGTGGAAGCCTCAGCCACTGTGTTGGGGAGCAGCTGAGGAACGGGGGAGCTCTGTTACTTGGGTAGTGACTGATGTAATGAGTTGCTGTGTTCATTTCTCTTAGAAGCCAGCTTCTATCATGGAAGAGAAAACACGCAGGCTCTGGAGTCAAGGCAGCCTTATATTCAGATTCCAGCTCCACTCTGTCTGGGTGGTCTTGAAATTGATTTATTTACCTTTGGGGAAATCTCTCTTTCCTCATGTCATAAATGAGAGAAAATGGACTAAACAGCCTCCGCTGTTTCTGGTATCCCTTGGTTCTGTGGGAAAAACTATGTAAATGTGTAACCACTCCCCCCACCTCCCAAACACACGCAGCTTAGGTTAAAAACAGTGGCGAGGTTTAGGAATATTTGCAGATATTGTCCTGATGGTAATTCTGTCAATTTCTGGTTTCCAACTAGCTGTTTAACTTCTGACCGTGATTCATGGATATCTATGGTGAATGGATGTTTGTTGGATGAGTAAATTCTCATGCCTGAAACAAAATGTTAGCCACGTGGCTTCCAATGCATTGCGCTAACCCAGCTCTGATTTTCTTGATAGATGAGCTCTCTCCGGAACAGCACAACCTTTCCTTATACTCCGTGGAGCTCGTGCTGAGGAAAAGCACTGGGCACAGCGCTGCACAAGTGGCCTTAACAGAAACTGTGCCAGAGTCCCAGCACAGCAGTCCTCTCCATGTCACAGCCCCGCCATCTGCCACTACTTTTGATATAGCCTTTTTTAACCAAGGAAAACAGACTGAAAGTACAGCAGCTCACAGCATCTTTGTGGCAACTTACGTGTCAGTGACGAGTAATGAGGTGGCCGTCGATGATGATGAGATGGATAACTTTCTGCCAGATACTCACTGGGCCACTCCACAGATGGTTTCTCCAATACAATATATCACTGTCAGCCCACCGGGGCTGCCCAGGGGAGCGTTGGAATCCATGCTCACTCCATCGTTACCCATGGTTTCTTTACAAGATGAAGAAGTGACATCGGGCTGGCAGAACACAACGCGACAACCAGCAGCATATGCTGAGTCCTCCAGTCATTTCCACGCCTTTCGGTCAGCTTTTCGCACCTCTGAGGGCATTGTTCCAACTCCTGGCAGGAATTTGGTGCTTTATCCTACTGATGCTTACAGTCATTTATCAGGCAGGACTCTGCCAGAGATGGTGGCTTCCCTAACAGAGGGTGTGGAAACCCCCCTTTTTTTAAGCTCCCGGTCTTTAATGACGCAGCCATTAGGCGATGGCATTACTAGACCGTTTCCCTCCTTGGGGGAGGTCTCACAGCCTCCAGAGGAGGTTTGGGCCACAAGTACAGACAGATACCCTGATGTGACCACTGTGTTGAGTCAAAGTCTAGAAGAAACCACCTCTCCAAGAACATACTCTACTGTGACTGTGTCGCACACTGCCCTTGCATTTGGCAGGACACATTCTGCGTGGCTTTCAACCTCTCTTGCATTTGTGTCCTTTTCTGCTCCACCAACCGATGTTTCTTCTAAGCCCTTTCTCCCTAGTGACTCCAGCAAGACATCAGAATTGCTCAGCCATTCAGCTCTCTCCAGTCCTGTGGACAGCACTCCCCTCCTGAGCCCGGTGTCTTCATTCAGACCATACACTTGGTGCGCAGCCTGCACTGTGGCTTCACCTCAGCACGTTCTGGCCACAAGCCTCGTGGAGAAAGATGTGGGATCAGGGGATGGTGCAGAGACCCTGACCATGACTGTGCTGGAAGAAAGCAGCATCTCTCTAATGAGTAGCGTCATAGCAGACTTCTCTGAATTTGAGGAAGATCCTCCAGTGTTTAATACGCTTTTCCCCTCTAGACCTGTGGTCCCACTTTCTTCCAGATCCATGGAAATCTCAGAGATGAGTGTTGGTGTTTCCACCGAGGTGGATGTGAGCAGCGTTACAACCACACAGGCTCCCCCTGCACATGGCCACCTCTCTGTGCCAGCGTCACTCCATTCCGCTGCTGGCTTCTCGTCTGTTGCAGAAACGCAGGTGACACCGTCCAGCGTGACCACTGCATTCTTCTCGGTCATCACCAGCATTCTCCTTGACTCATCTCTCTCTGCCATAGCGAACAAAAACACACCATTGCCTGCCGTCAGAGACCCAAGTGTTGTTACGCCTTACAGCGTGGTTCCTTCAGTGGAGTCTTCACTTTTCTCTGACCAAGGTTCTTTCAGTTTTTCCGATTGTAAACCCGGAGGTGCTTTGGATTTCGCATCCAGCTTTTTCTCAACACCCCCGCTGGAACTCAGCGGCTCCATCTCTTCACCTGCAGAAGCGTCTCTGTCTCTGATGCCGAGTGACCTGTCCCCCTTCACGTCTCAGCCTTTTTCTACCTTGACTGAGACATTTAGATTGTTCCACTCAAGTGATCTGCAGTCATCTCGGCTGTTTCTTCCCAGCTCCACAGATCTTGAGTTTTCGCAGCTGCAGCCAAGTTCTGCGCTGCCTTTAAACACCGTCACTTTCCTACCTAGTCTCTCTGAAGCGTCGCCACGGTCAAGCTTCCCCTCTGATTCTCTGTTTTTTGTTGAAGCATCGATGGTTTCACTGACGGATTCAGAAGCTCATTTTACCTCAGCTTTCACTGAAACTACCTCCTATCTTGAGTCTTCACCCTCTTTGCGTGAATCCGCAGTCACCACACTGGTGCCCCCCAGCTCTGGGTCTTTTGACATCTTGACTGCTGGGATTCATGCAACTTCATTGACCACTGTCCACACAACGCCCGTTTTACCTGCGTTTTCTTTGTTCTCAACTTTGACACCTCCGGATGATCAAATCAGTGCTACAGACAGTCATGTGTCTGTCCTAGCCTCTTTCTCCAAAGCCATTCCCACTGGCACGGTGTTGATCACTGACATGTACCCACCAGCAGGGTCCTCGTTTGTTTCTGAAGCGACCCTCTTCCCTCTGCCCACAGAGCTGACTGCCGTGGACGCATTGCTCACACCCACAGAGGTGCCACTGAACAGCTCCACGGAAGTGAGCCCACCCAGCACCGGTGCTGCCACTGCTGGTCCCCTTGACTCCACCCTGATGAGCGATGCCCTAAGTCAGAGTCCCCCAGAGAGCAGCGCTGCTCCTCCCCTGCCGTCCCTGCGTCCTGTGACCACCTTCACTCTCGAAGCAACAGTCGACACACCAACACTGGCCACTGCCAAGCCGCCATACGTTTGTGATATCACAGTCCCTGATGCCTATCTGATCACAACTGGTAAGGACCAGCTTCCTGCCACCTCTCTGGGGTGGGCCATCTTTCTAAGGAGCTTGTATGTAGTGCCTCTGGGGCCTGGAGCTTTGTGGTTAAGAGCAGAGGCGCTGGGCTCAGATAACTCCCGGGTAGCACTCCTCCGCTTACCTCCTGCGAGTTCTAGGGACAGTTATTGAGCCTCTGTAATCGTCTGCTACCTCAGCCATTAAACAAGGAACTTAGTTAAACCTGCTTTGTAGGGCTGATGTTCAGATATAAATGCATTAGTGGCTGCAGCACACTCCACCCCTGCCTGCCACATCAGAGGCACACACGGGATGATGCCTATTACTCAGCAGTCACAAGGAGAACAAATATTAGAACAAATCCAAGAACTAAACAAGTCTTGGAAGTTCTTGGTAGGATCTTTGTCCTGCCATAACCCAGTAGGTGCGTAGATGACGTAGTTTAAGCAAAACGGTTTTTTTTTTTTTTTAGTTCAAACCATGAGTTGGGCAACTGCATAAGGGTAACCCTTGCAATTTCTGACTCATTTACTCTTCTTACATTTCTTTGAAAGCAGATTGCACTTTGCTCTCATAAGTCCCTGTAAATGGTACTTTGGTCCTGAGGAAAGAAAAGTAGAGGCCGTGTGCGGTGGCTCACGCCTGTCATCCCAGCACTTTGGGAGGCCAAGGCAGGTGGATCACCTGAGGTCAGGAGTTCGCGGCCAGCCTGACCAACATGCAGAAACCCCGTCTCTACTAAAAATACAAAAAAATTAGCCAGGCGTGGTGGCACATATCTGTAATCCCAGCTACTCAGGAGGCTGAGGCGGGAGAATCGCTGGAACCCGGGAGGCAGAGGTTGGCTGAGCTGAGATTGTGCCATTGCACTCCAGCCTGAACAACAAGAGTGAAACTCCATGTCAAAAAAAAAAAAAAAAGAAAAAAGAAAAGTAGAGTAACTAAATGTCCTCCGAATCCAGTTTCAGCCTGTGGTTCCCTCCCCCAGCAGCCTGGGTTGCTAGCAGACTGGCCAGCAGCTTCCCTTGCAGTGGCACGACTGCAGTGGCATGAAGCTGGCATCCCCCTAAGGACATGCCTGACAGGTAGACTTATTTCAAGGCTAACGTCCCACGATGGTAGCCTGCTTGGTCAGGGTCTCCGCATTTCTCCTTACAAGAGATGACAGGTGTGTGTGGTCTTGAGGGCCATGACTGTGTCTGAAACACAGCTAGCTTGATTTTGGTAGGAGTGGAGGACAGAAATGGAAAAGGGGACAAAAATGGCAGAAGGGGTAGAGGATTGGGGTGGAGTGGACCAGGAAGGAGAGGAGCAGAGAATGTGGAGGGGGAAGAGGAGGAGAACGGTGGGTCTTTTTCCTCCTGTGGTTGGGGTAGGGGGCTGGGAGCCTTTGCTCACTGTCACAGTGCCATGTCCCTCTGAGCAAGCAGGTGGGAGTGAGGATCCTGATGGCAGGTACGTGTCAGTGATCAACACTGTACTGGGGGAATGGCTTTGGGGAAAGAGGCTGGGACAGCCTTTGCTCCCTATACCCCAAAGGGAAACATTCATTATTCCATGTGACAAGGGATGATTGAGCACTTAGTATGTGTGCAGTGTTTCTGGAAGCTTTTAGGTATACAGATGGGTAAAATACAAGCCCTCCTTTGAGCAGGTCAGGGCCCAGGAAGATGATACTGAGCCACAGAGTAACGGTGGTTACCGTAGAGTTTCCGAGAGTGGCTATTTGGGATGATCAGGGACGGGTTCAGAAGAATGTGAAACTGGAGATTCCCACAAAAGGAAGAATAGAATGTTGTCCTTTGAGGATGTAGACACAGTGCCTTCTGGGGAAGGAGACCATCGTCATGGCTGGAGATGAGGCTCTGTGATGGGAGGAGCAGGTAATTATGCTAGGAAACGTAGCTGGAACAAAATCATGAACTTGACTCTCAAGATGAGAGCAGTCCAGGGAGGAGGGAAAAGCGTTTCTCATGCACATGATACTTTTCTTTCTTTTTACAAAATTATTACAAAGTAGGTACAAAGTAGTCAGTTGTAAGCAGCTTATTAAGAGAGTTATTGAAAGCTTCTTTAGGAGTCCTCATAGTTGGATTTAACTTTCATATGCGGTTTACACTTAATGACATTTCGTGACTTAATTAGGTATAATTAGGTATCCATGTATTTTTAACAGCTTTTTGGAGTAAAATTCAGTTTATGTAAATGTTGAGAGTTGCGGGTAAGTGTCCATTCTATTAAATTGTGTTTAGCAGAGATAAGTGCCATCAATTGCTCCTGGTAATACCTTTGACCTGGAGGAAATAACGGCTCATTTCTCATCTTCATTTAGATTGGACCTTGCTGTCTTTTTCATAGTTATCTGTTAGTGAGAGAGTGTGGTGAGGGGGCTGAGGTGACTCCATGTACCCTTGAAAGGATTCTTTGTGTGCACTCTGTGATGGTAAAGCAGAGCCGCTCTGGGTGCTGGGGGTCCATGGTGGCGGTGGAAGCACTTGCCTGCACGAGCCCTGGGAGGTGTGAGCCGTGCTTCCACCCAGGGCCTTCTGACCCTGCCCTGCCTCTGGAAGTCTCTCTCGCCTCTCTTCTCTTAGCTCTGGGAAAGCTAGACGTTTGAGAAAAGATCTGTAAGAGAGTTGTTTGCTGATGATCCCTTTTGCCAAAGACTTGTGTCCTCATATACTAATGTTGCAGTTTTATATCTTTCCCAGATTCCCCAGAGACGGTGGAGGTCATAGTGGTGGCTGTAGGGACTTTGCAGAGTGACATTCGGACCGATAATGTCTTTAGCTATGTGGGGCTGCTTACAATGTATTCTTCCTACTTTCCTCTTTAGGGGTTTTCTGTCACTGAGTTCTCATTCTGCCTCTATTTCCCCCAAGTTTAGCTCTTGAGTTCCTCCCCCTCCCCTTCCCTCCCCTCTGCCCTTCCTTCCTCCCTCCCTTCCTTCTCTCCCTCCTTCCTTCCCCCTCCTCTCCCTCCCTCCTCCTTTTCTGTTCCCTCCTTCCTGTCTCCCTCCTCCGTCATTTCTCCCACCCTCTTCATTTCCTTCTTTAAATAAGGCATTTTTCCTTCTTTCCACTCTTTCCCCTTTCCTTCCTACTCATTCTATCTTTCCCTTCCAAATCTATGGCATAGTCCAACCCACTTACTTGGATCCTATGTGGGCCATGCAGAACTGGCTGCTGGTATGACTCAGCAAGGTGGTTAGGGGCTGTGGATTTGTTCCGATGGCCTCATAAACTAATAAAGAAGCCCCACCCACCTTTAAAAAAAATTCAGATCACTGATTCATAGGAAAAAACAATCAAATGTAACTTAAATATTTGTTTTTTAAAGAATGCAGAGTGATTCTGTCTCCAGTTTTAAAAATTAAAATCAGGAAATGGAAAGCAATTACAGTAGTAAGTGTATTATAATTCTGCATTGTGGGAAGTTGATGGAAAAGGAGAGAAAAAATAGGGAAAAGAAGAACAAGCTTACTAAACACTGAGACAGGCTTATTAGTACAGATTTTTAAATGGAACTTTTAAAATGTGAAGAAAGTTAAATAGAACTAGACTTTGGTTATGAGAAATATTTTATTTTCTACATAAAATTTTAATATGTGGGAATTGTGGAAATCTTTTTTTTCTTATTATTAGTGGTAAAAACTCTTCACGTTTTGCCTTGAAGCATTAGGGTAGGAGACCTCATTTCACAGAGAAGCTGTCATCTGGTTTTGTTGAGTAACATCTTAAGGCGGTTTAAAATGTTACTTCTGAGAGCTTTTAAAGCCTCCTGTTTTGTTGTCGGGGACAGAACCAAGAGGCAGCCTGGAATTTGTCCAGGTGAAAATGAGAACTAGAAGCCCTTGTCCCTTGGCTGGGTCATTGCTGCTGATTCCTGATCTAACCTGTTTGGGGCAAAGAGGGTTTTCTTAGTGTGTGGAGCTGATGCTATGCAGAGTTGACCTCGTGTCTTCAAAGTCCCCACTGCTGTTCTTCTCTAGGTAATTAGCAGCAACTAGATCCTTAACCCCTGTTCTGTCTTGGTCTGGCCTTTGTTTTACAAAAAGACTTTTGGAGCTGCTAATGCATTTTGGCAGGGGTCCAGAGGTGTGATTCATAATGACATTAAAATGCATTTGGTGGTTGGCTTTAATTTGTAGTGCTGGCCAGAAGAGCTGTGCAGGAGTACATCATTACAGCAATTAAAGAAGTACTGAGGATTCACTTCAACCGTGCAGTGGAACTGAAGGTGAGTCCCAGAGGCTCAGGAGTATGATGACTGATGGGACCGGGGCTGATGTGAGAGCCCCAGGTTAGAGGCAGGTGATTATGGCCATGGAATCATTCTCTTTCCTCTCTTCCCTCCTGTCTCCTGGGTAACTCCTGCTCATCATCTGGATCTCCACTCCACTGTCACTACATTGGGAAGGCCTTTTCTGACCCCACATGAGGTCAGGGTTAGTCCTTTGGGAGGTGTGTTGGCAGAGTTGGAACAAAGAGCTCTCAGAGCAGAGGCAGCAGTAAAATCATCTACCTGATTTTACTTCCCTTGATTTACACAAAAGGACTTGGATTCGTGTTTACATTAGATGTTAGAGTGAGTACAGGTGCATCTTTCTGGATATTTGGAGGGATAGAGATGGAGATCTGAATCTTTTAGACTGTATCCCATGCTGGTGCCACTTTTCCTCAATGATCCCAGAAAGCCACGGTCCATCTAGAGCAGAGTCATCCGGAACCAGAACCGTAGCCCATGCGTGATGATGCAGCAGTGAAATGGGGCTTGTCTGAACCGAGATGAGCTATGGGGGGAGAATACAGACAGACAGACAGACAGACAGACAGACAGACAGACAGATAGATAAATGACAGACTTCAAAAATGCAGTGAAAAAAGCAATGTAGAATATTTCATAATAATGTTTGTATTGACTTCATGTTGAAATGATATTTTAGATATATTAAGTAAAATGCATTTAAAGTTCATTTCACTTGTTCTTATGTCTTTTAATGTGGCCACTAGAAATTTTTAAATTATATGAGTGGCTCCTTGTATATTTATTTTGGACAGTGCTGCTCAATAGAGTAAGTACCCCTTTCTATGTGTTTTAAGCACAACAAACACCTTGAATGCCCTATAACTCATTATTCAGTTCTTGTTACTGACTCTTCCTTCTTGCTGCTCTCATAATTTTGTGCTGTTTTTGCAAAGATTGACAGAGAGTAAAAGCAGTAACTAAAATGAAATTTTGATGATCTGTGATGCGCTGCCCCTTCATCTGAAACTACCAGTTTTTTAGTTTATTTATAATTTAAAATTTTTCTAACAGCTTCCTTCACGTTTGAATTGTCTTTGTATTTCCTGCTTCCCTAGGTTTATGAGCTATTTACTGACTTCACTTTCCTGGTGACGTCCGGTCCTTTCGTTTACACGGCAGTATCGGTCATAAATGTGCTTATAAACAGTAAGCTCGTGCGCGACCAGACTCCTTTAATCTTGTCTGTGAAACCTTCCTTCCTTGTGCCAGAGTCCAGGTTCCAAGTTCAAACAGGTGAGACAACTCAACAAAGTTGTTTTGATTTGTAAAAAGAATTTTGTTTTATTTTTCTGCATTTTAAAAATATTGGAAATCTTTTATAGAATTGATGATGATGATGATGATTTTTAGAGACAAGATCTCACTGTGTCACCCAGGCTGGAATGCAGTGGTGTGATCAGAGCTCACTGAAGCCTCAAACCCCTGAGCTCAAACAATCCTCCTGCTTCAGCCTTCTGAGTAGTTAGGACTAAAAGTGTACATCACCAAACCTGGCTAATTTTTTTGAAAATTATTTTTTTAGACCAGGTGTGGTGGCTCACACCTGCAGTACCACCACTTTGGGAGGCTGAGGCAGACAGATAGCTTGAGCTTATGAGTTTGAGACCAGCCTGGGCAACATGATGAAACCTTGTCTTTACAAAAAATAAAAAAAATTTAGACCAGGTGCGGTGGCTGATGCCTGTAATCTGAGCACTTTGAGAGGCTGAGGTGGTCGGATCACTTGAGGTCAGGAGTCTGAGATGAGCCTGGGCAGCATGGCGAAGCCTCATCTCTACTAAGAATACAAAAATTAGCCGGGCATGGTGGCATACGCCTGTAATCCCTGCTACTTGGGTAGCTGAGGCAGGAGAATTGCTTGAACCCAGGAGGTGGAGATTGCAGTGAGACAAGATTGTGCCACTGTACTCCAGCTTGGGCAACAGAGTGAGACCCTGTCTTAAAAATAAACAAACAAAAAATTTTAAATAAGTTATGTTTTGTAGAGACAAGGTCTCCCTAAGTTGCCCAGGCTGGTCTTAAACTCCTGGGCTTAAGCAATCCTCCTGCCTTGGCCTCCCAAAGTGCTGGGATTATGAGTGTGAGCTACCACACCCGACCTTATTATTTAACTTTTAAAAAGGGTTTATAATTATGGGAAATTTCAAGCATATACCAAAGTATGTAGGATAGTTTAACAGACCACCATGTACTCATTGTGTGTCTTCAATCATTTTTCTGTTCCTAGCCAGTCTTGTTGTAGCCACACCCCCACCTACCATCTCCTTCCCCTCCTCTTGCACTATCTGGAAGTAAGTCTCAGGCATTGTATCATCTCACCCACACGTATTTCAGCCTATATAGCCTCTAAAAGAGAAAGACTTTAAACGTATATATGAAGCTAACAGTAATTTCTTTTTTTGGGGAGACAGAGTCTTGCTCTGTTGCTCAGGCTGCAGTGCAATGGTGCGATCTCTGCTCACTGCAACCTCCGCTCTCAGGCTCAAGCAATTCTCCTGCCTGAGCCTCCTGAGTAGCTGAGATTACGGGTGCCTACCACCACGCCCGGCTAATTTTTGTATTTTTAGTAGAGATGGGATTTCATCATTTTGGCCAGGCTGGTTTCGAACTCCTGATCTCAAATGATCTGCCCGCCTCAGCCTCCCAAAGTGCTGGGATTACAGGCGCGAGCCACCACACCTGGCAGTTAACAGTAATTTCTAAATGTATTTAACTTTTCACTGTAGACATATTCAAACATTTACAAAAGTAGAGAGAATAACATACTAAGCCTACGTATACCTACCATTAAGCTTAAAAAATGATCAGCATCACCAATTTTGTTTCTTCTACCCCCCCCGAACGTTTTTGTAGACACTAGAGTGTTTTAAAGCAATGCCAGATGTCATGTAATTTCACCCATAAATGCTTAAGAATTAATCTACAGTGAATTTATATACATTTGAAATGTTTCTATCCCTTGCGTCTTTTGGTGCTCACATTCTTATCTGAGATATTTTTCATTTTAAAATGATACCAGTCACCTTCACATTGCATGTCTTCATTTACTGCAAAGTTGCTTTTTACATTTCCATGCAATAATAAGTAGAAATGGTACATCACAGTACTGAATCCCATGCTGCGGATGAATTAGTTGATTTAGGTCCTATGTTTCTCTCTCTTGATTTCTTAATACTTCAGAAGTGCAAATACCTTATTGGTGGGACTTGGCTTGTTTTTCTTTTCAGTACTTCAGTTTGTGCCTCCAAGTGTGGACACCGGCTTCTGCAACTTCACCCAGCGCATCGAGAAAGGCCTAATGACAGCTCTCTTTGAAGTGAGAAAACACCACCAGGGAACGTATAACCTCACGGTGCAGGTGAGAGCATCACTGAACGCAGAACAGAAGGCTTTAGCCTTTAAAGGGGAGATCGTTCCACATCGTTTAATTTAGGGTGCACTTCACTCTTATTTTCTCCAGTGGCGGAAACCCAGTTTACATGGGTTGGAATGGATCTCTTCCTATGGCGTAGGGTCAGCATAGCGTGAATGGGATGAGCAGCTTTGAAGGTTGCAGAGTAGCTGATACCTGGGGAACTCAGATATGGTGAGCTGAAGAGAGTGACCATATTCAGGAAATTCAAGAATTACCTAGAAAGGAATGGTATCACCCTAAATATCCAGTGGGGGAAAGCCTACCCATACGGTTGTTTCCATACAGCTACTAAGAACAGGCGTTGTACGTATTGCATGGAAACTGCTAATGTTTTTATATTTCTTTGATTTTTTTCTGCTACATTCTTTCCTCTCTTTTTCCAAAATGATTGTCAAAATAGATGTTGGTGCTTCTGGATCCACTTTCCATATTTCTTATTTTTTCCTCATATTTTCCATCTCTTTTTATTCTCTGTTTCTACAGAGTTACTAAATTTTGTCTTCCAAGTCATTAATGTAGTCCTTAGCTGTGTCCGTTATGTTATGCAATCTGTCTATTGAATTTTTTAGCTTCTTTTTCATTGTTCTTTGCTCCGTTTCCATCGTCGGCTTTCCTGTGATGATGCAGTATTGCCTTGAAAGTCTCTGGACGCTAATTAGAATTGTTAAAATGTGTCTCCTGTTCCCCAGGTCATTCCTGGTTTCTCTGCAGTCCTTGCTCTGTGTGTTGATCTCCATGCTTTGCTTTTGTGCTGTTTCTGTAAATCTGGAGACTGCTGGTTTGTTGTTAGGAGTGAAGAACCAAGTTGTTCATTTTAGTAGCTGGGACGGCTCTCCCCGTGAGTTGTGGGATATCTTTCTATGTCAGCTCCATCTCCTGGCGGGAAAATTTATTGGAGCACTGGGTCCGGGGCAGAACATGTCAGGGTGGGCTTCTCTCTGGGTGCGGTGTGTGGTCAGAGGCAAGCAGACAGGGAACCCCTGCTCCTTCCAGCTTCAAGATAAAGAGGCTCTTCCCGGGGGACAGGGCACTTTAGTGTGTGTCTCAGGGCAGAGCCAGCTGTGTTTTCATTCATTTTCTTTCCTTGTCTGTGGCGTGCACGGGAGTTGTCTTAGTCTCTGCCCACCTTCTTGCTTAGGGCCCAGACCTGCCATAGTTCTCTTAGGCAGGGGTGTGTTTTCCCTAGGAGCGGTTCTTTGGCCTGTTCTGGGTGAGGGCCTGGCTGCTGCTAGCACCTCTGTGTTGGCCTGGGTGTGACAGTTAGGAAGGACTGAGGAGGAAGGCAATGGACTCAGCTCTTTGGCACAGCCTTGTGATTAATTACACGGATTACCACTGTGGAGTCTGCTCTTGGCTTTGTGCCTGCTGATCTCCACCACGGAGCCCCTCCTGGTCCTCTTGGGGAGCATGGCCCTCGGGTCTGCTGCAGCCCATGATTGTGTATGTGTTGGATCCTGGCCCCCTCCCTTCTGGTTTATATCAATCCAGACCCATCCTTTCTCCCTCCCCCAGAGGTCTGACAGAATCACTGGTTTTCTTCCATTCTCAGTGCAGGTGTGGATTTATTCCCCTTTGTTCGGCTTATTGTTATTTTAGTGGGATTTGGGGTAGGAGGGGCTGTACATGTGCTCAGTTCATCACTTAATATAAGAAACATTTTCAGTAAACTGAGCATTTAAACTCTTACAAAGGGAACCAGGTTAGAAGCCATTTATTTTTCCTTTAAACACTTTACCTCCTTTTAAAAAATCAGAGGACCCGTGAGAGAGAGATCAGGGTTAAGCCCTCAGCAGAATGTTTTATTTTTGAAGCTTATTCTGGCTTCATTCTTTCAGATCTTGAATATCACCATCAGTTCCTCAAGGGTGACTCCTCGGCGGGGCCCGGTGAACATCACCTTTGCAGTTAGAAGCACACAGGGATTCTTGAATGGGTCGGAAGTGAGCGAGCTGCTGAGGAACTTGAGTGTGGTGGAGTTCAGTTTCTATCTGGGATACCCGGTGTTGCAGATTGCAGAGCGTGAGTACGGCCCCCTTGGACATGCTGGGGAGGTCATGTGGCAGGCATTTTTGTTGGTAGACCTCTTCAGAAAATTTTTTTAGTTTTTAAAAGACTTGATTTTTAAAACATCATTTTATTTTTTCTTAAGGTGTTGGGGTACCGGTGGTATTTGGTTGCATGAGTAAGTTCTTCAGTGGTGATTTTTTTTGAGATCCTGGGTGCCCACCACCTGAGCAGTATACACGGCACCATATTTGTGGTCTTTTATCCCTTACCCCCCTTCCACTGTCCTCCACAAGTCCCCAAAATCCAGTGTATCATTCTTATGCCTTTGCATCCTCATAGCTTAGTTCCCACATATCGGTGAGAACGTACCATATTTGGTTTTCTGTTCCTGAGGTACTTCACTTAGAATAATAGTATAAGACTTGCTCTTCTTAGTGACGTTTTGGATTCACAGCAAATATGATCAGAAGGTTGAGTGATTTCCCATATACCTCCTGCTTCTGCACATTCGTCACCTCCCCTGTTATCAGCATCCCGCAGCCCAGTGGTCCATTTGTTACAGGGACCAGCCTGCATTGACACATCCTCATCACCCAGAGCCCATAGTTGACATTAGGGTTCGCTCTGGGCATCATGAATGTGTAATGACATGCAAATGGCATGGATTCTCCATTTTAGTATCATACAGAGTATTTCCACCTGGACAAGTTTTTTTCAAGTGAAATATCTGACTGAGTGCCGGAATATAAATCTGATAAAACTGGATTGAAGCCAGGTGGGTCTGCAGAGCCCTGCTTATCCACTGTGCCTGGCTTTATTACTTGGAGAATAAACGGGTGCTCTTAAAAAATATACGAGTCCTGGAAAAGGCCTAACTGTGGGGAGCGAGAATGGATTTGTGGTTGTCAGCGCTGAAGGGCAGTGGGAAAGTTCCACTACAAACGGATGGCAGAAGGCAGTGTTTTGGGGGTGATGGAACTGTTCTGCAGAAGGCAGTGTATTGGGGCGATGACACTGTTCTGTATCTTCATTGTGGTGATGATTATGTGACTATATATACATTTATCGAAATCTGTAAAACTATATGCTGAAAAGAGTGACTTTTACTGTCTAAATTAAAAAAAAAAAAAGTGAAAACATGAAACCTTTCTTCCTGGCCAAAGCAAGTAGGTTCACAATGCAAATGGAGGCAGGTGGCTGGGGTGGGGTGGGGTGGGGTGGGGGGGTGGGGGTGGGGTAGGGGAGATATTTATTTAAAAAAAATATAGTAGATTCCAGAGTTGAAGTCAAGCTAAAAAAATTCAAATTCTTTTTCAAAATGAAACAACCAAATGGCTAATGATTTGTAATGTATTTCAGCATATTGTTAATTAAAAAGAAGAACTTTACAAGTTATTCTATATGAAAGTAGACAGAGAGAAAGCTGTTATTTACCAAGAGCAGCTTTCAGTGTCCATGGTGCACATATGCCTGCAATGAGTCTGCCTGACAGCGGAGCCCACTAACTGGCCTGGGGCAAGTCAACACGTGGTCACTTTACCCTGAGACATGGCTGGGAAAGCCAGGCTCTGGGGTACACGTGTGAACGTGCTTTGCTGTGGAACAGTGACATTCAAAGGAGATCTTGCAGGTGACCTCTCCATGCAGCAGTGTCCTATGATGTGGCTGGAGCCAGCCCTTCATTTCTTTTTCTCTCTTTGTTCTTGAGACAAATGTGTTCAGAAATTGCTCCTGTCCATGTCCTCACACTAATCTGACATTTTGTTTTTTCATATTTAGAGCTAAATAGTAAAGACAATGTGTTGTGACTTTGTTGTAAACCTGGGGTTTTTTTCTTACAGATTTTTTTTCTCCTTCCCTAATTCTTTCCCTTTTGTAGCCTTCCAGTATCCACAGCTCAACTTATCTCAGTTGCTGAAGTCCTCTTGGGTCAGGACAGGTATGTTTAACTTACGTAATGTTTTGGGCGCTGTAAGGATACACAGTCTATGCAGGCGTATTGAGAATGATGCTGCCTTTCCTGTTTCCTAAATTTAGGACAAAATGTACCTTAAATTCTTGGCAAAGAATGAATGAGAAAGGGATTCAAATTTGGCTGTGGGAATGTATCCCACTGAGTTATAGAACAAAAAGGACTGACTTTCTTTAAAATTCATACATCAAGTTCAGGGCAGAATCTAACAGGAACTGACAATCTTCTGACCCAAAACAGGGTGAGGTTCAGAAGCAAGGATCTCTCTCTCTCTCTCTCTCTCTCTCTCTTTTATTTTTTTTCTAAAAGTGTTGTTTAGTTTAATAAGGACAAGTAGGGTGGCTTGGCACCTAGGAAGCTTTTTTCTTTTTTTGTCTTAGGGGAATGGGTCAGATATTTAGAGGTATGGCATTGCAGTTAAAGGCTTTCTAATGTAGTGCACAAAAGTCTGAACAGTAGTTATGTTTAGCTTCCCAGCGTGCATGCAGCACAGGAACTAGCTGGGCACGAGACAGCATGTGGAGTAGTGATAGTCACCATTCACGGGGTTCCTGTACTTTGCAAGTTCTCTTTGCTGAACACACAGCATCCCATGTCAAGGCCTCACTTCTTTGCATGGTGCCTTCAGCGGTCTTTTTCAGATCATTTCCATAGTAATTAAATAACTTGCTCATGGTTGTATCTCAAAGAACTTAAACCAGTTCTAGTTGAAAAACACATGTTCATTCCTCCCAGACCATGCTGGCAAGCGATTGTCTGTCGAGATAATCTTGTCTGAAGTAGATAACTAAAGATGGGCAGGCTTCCTTTTTTCAAGTTAGTTTGTGAGTCCAAGTCTCAGGGCAAGGTAATGAACTCACACCAATTCCAGAAGTGTGGAGATAAGTGCAGACGAAATGTTTGATCTTGTGTAGGCATCCTTCGCGCCAGAGCTCCTGCATTGCTGAGTTCCTGGGACTTCTGGCTGCCAGTCTGGGTAACACTGAGAGCTTGGAGCTTTAGATAAGTTGTATGGGCTGCATTTCCTGGACTCTCCCCATTCCTGATCACTGTGTCTCCTTTTAATGTCTCCTGTCTAGGCATTGGCATTTTGTGGCAATCTTGCGTTAATTTCAAACACACGCACACGCACACACCCTGTTTTTTTAGTGCTGACTTGTTTTCGGTGCCGCATGTGTTTTCTTTTAAATGTAGTTCTCTTGGGTGTCGTGGAGAAGCAGCTCCAGAATGAAGTGTTTCAAGCAGAGATGGAACGCAAGCTGGCCCAGCTGCTCAGCGAGGTTTCCACCAGACGCCGGATGTGGAGAAGGGCCACTGTAGCTGCAGGGAACAGTGTGGTGCAGGTACTCCACGTCAAAGGACGAGGGGAAGGAGAGAAGGAGAGGGAGAGCTTGTGTGAGTGCACACACCATTGGAAACCCTGTATTTTTATGCCACTAAGAAGTGCCATGAGAAAATTCTGATTTTGACTGATTTCTATATTGGGCAGCAGGTGAATCTGGCAGCATTTCAGTTCAGCTAGCGTCTAGACAAATATTTACCAAGTAGCAGGATAACAATGGACCCTGGGGAGCAGAGCAGGATTGTCCGACTGGGACCATACTATCATAGGACCTCGTTTATCCAGTAGTAGTTTTTAATTAACAAAAGTGTAGCCTGTTTGATAGAATGGTCCGCATTATTGACAGCACTGTAGTGATATATTCAACTGGAAGAGACCGTAGATCAGATAGCGGGAAATATGCCACCCTCTGCTTGAGCACTTCATTTTCTCTGTTTCCATGGTATTATGGAGTCATCACTTTGGTTAAGATTTTCAATTTATTTTCTGAGCGAAATCACATCTCTTTAGAAATTACATAGCCAATTAGAGAAATTTTGAGAAAGACGTGTAAAAGATGTGTAAAGAATAAAACAAAAATCACCTAAAATTCAATCAACCAAAGAAAATCACTGTAAACATTTTAGGATATTTCCTTCCCTTATTTTTTCCTCGTGAATTCTGTATTAACATTTGGATGATACTACATACATCTTTTTGTAGCCTCTTTTCACTTGAGCTTGCTTTCTTTCTCTCTTTTTTCTTGAGACAGAGTCTCACTCTGTCGCTCAGCCTAGAGTGCCGTGGCACAGCCTCAGCTCACTACAACCTCCACCTCCTGGGTTGAAGCAATTCTTCTGCCTCAGCCTCCTGAGTAGATGGGACTACAGGTGCCCACCACCAGAGACACCTGGTTGTATCATATTACCCTAAATCTTCTTTAGTTGGTAAACTGGCAGACAGGTACAAAAGACAGATTTGTTTGAAACGTGACCCATTTAGAAATGCTCATACTCACAGGAAATTGGAGGCTGGGGCTGTCATTAATTTCCATCTCCATATGAATTATGTGGATTTTTTTCTTTACCAATTGCTGATTTGTTGAGCTACGAAAATGGGATATTTAGAGCTATGGCATTTCAGAAACAGGAAACCTGGGTAGAATTCTGAAGCAGGGGGTGTGGGCTGGCAGGCAGGGTGGGAGGTGGGTGGGTTAGAGGCATTAGAGATAAAGATGCAAATGACATTGGCTGTGGGTGGCAGGTTGGGGGTGTGGACGTGTTGCCTCAGACTGCATCATTGTCCTCTAGTCCTTTTACCAAGTGTGTCCTCTCATCATTACCCCCTCCCAGAAATACAGTTCTTAGGTTTCTAAATAGTTTCTTTGCCCCCCTCCCAGAAATGTAGTTCTTAGGTTTCTAAAATAGTTACTTTGCCAGATGCAGTAAGTTACAGAGAAATTGAAAAACTAATCACAACTGGGAGTAATTATTAAATAAGTATTAAAAAAGAATACAAATTTGAATTATAAAAGCTTTGCCTCATTCAGCAATTCCTGGCTTCATAGAGCGTAAGGCCTAGGTGTGAGTTCACTTATACACAGAAAACTGTTATAGGATACCATAAAAGGATATAATACAGTGCTAAATTTGACATACAGCTCCCTAAGTAGGCATGCAGGTTTGGGAAAGTTAACCAAGCTATCCAGGCAAATGTGCCATCTGGGAGATTGCTTATAAGCTGTGCTCTGATTCTCTTCCCACTTAGAGTGATGAAACAAGAAGATGTAGACAAGTATTTGTGTACAGCAGTACATGGCTGTCCATCAAAACTTTTTTTTTTTAATTCTTTTATTTTTATTTTTTTAAAAAATTTTTATTGGATTTTAGGTTTTGGGGTACATGAGCAGAGCATGCAAGACAGTTGCGTAGGTACACACATGGCAGTGTGCTTTGCTTTTCTTCTCCCCTTCACCCACATTTGGCATTTCTCCCCAGGCTATCCCTCCCCACCTCCCCCTCCCACTGGCCCTCCCCTGTCCATCAAAACTTAATTCGTAAAAGTGAAAATGTTGAAACAATCTAGATATCCAGCAACTGGGGAATGGGTAAATAAAATTATAGTAAATCTTTCTGTGTTGGAATTTTATGCAGCCATTTAGAAAAAATTAGTGAGTGATAAAGAAAAATGTTCAAGTAGGCCGGGTGCAGTGGCTCACTCCTGTAATCCCAGCACTTTGGGAGGCCGAGGTGGGTGGATCACTTGAGGCCAGGAATTTGAGACAAGCCTGGCCAACAAGGTGAAACCTGATCTCTACTAAATATATAAAAATGATCCAGGCATGGTGGTCTGTGCCTGTAATTCCAGCTACTCAGGAGGCTGGGGCATGAGAATCACTTGAACCCAGGAGGCGGAGGTTCCACTGAGCTAAGAGCGCACCAGTGCACTCCAGCCTCGGGGACAGAGTGGGATTCTGTCTCAAAAAACAAACAAATGAAAAACAACAACAAAGCTCAAGTGAAGAGAGGTTACAAAAGTATGCCGTGTAATCCAGATGTTAATATAGAATTCATGGAGAAAAAAGTACAGAAAGAAAATGCTAAAGTGTTTACAATGGTTTTCTTTGGCTGGTTGAATTTTAGGTGATTTTCATTTTTATTCTTTCTATCTTTTTTTGCATGTGTTTTTCAACATTTCTCCAATTGGCTCTATAATTTCTAGAGTGATGTGATTTTGCTCAGAAGACAAATATAAAAATGAAACAGAAAATGGTAGCCAAAGTGATGATGACTCCGTAATACTGTGGTTATGAGGGTTCCAGATAGGAATCTGATAGGGCTAGAGAGAATGCTACCATTCGATTCTCCTGGCTCACTTTCTGCCTGGATGTCTTAGTCCATGGATGTTGTCGTAAAGGAATACCTGAGGCTGAGTCTGTAAAGAAAAGGGTTTATTTGGCTCACGGTTCTTCAGGCTATAAAAAAGCATGGTGCCAGCAACATAGTGAGGGCCTTGGGCTGCTTCCCCTCTTGCTGGAAGGCAAAGGGAAGCCAGTGTAGAAATCACATGGCAAGAGAGAAAGCAAGAGAGAGAGGGGAGGGAGGTGCCAGGCTGTTTCCAACACCAGCTCTCTCAGGAACTAGCAGAGAAAGAACTCATTACCTCGAGGTCAGCACCAAGCCATTCATGAGGGACCTGCCTCCCTGACTCAGGTACCTCCCATTAGGCCCCTCCACCAACACCGGGGATCACATTTCAACATGGAGAGTTAGAGGGGGTCAAACATCCAAACTGTAGCAGTAGACAAACTTGTAGAATCTTTCATCAAGGTGGGTATCACTGGGTTTGTGATTTCTACAAGAAGAAACCATACATTTAAAATTTATTAGAACTTTTTTTTTTTTTTGCGACAGTCTTGCTCTGCCATCCAAGCTGGAGTACAGTGGTGTGATCTCACCTCCATCTCCTGGGTTCAAGCAATTCTCCTGCCTCAGCCTCCAGAGTAGCTGGGATGACAGGCACGCACCAGAATGCCCAGCTAATTTTTTGCATTTTTAGTAGAGTTAGGGTTTCACCACGTTAGTCAGGCTGGTCTTGAACTCCTGACTTCATGCAACCTGCCCATGTTGGCTTCCCAAAGTGCTAGGATTACAGGCGTGAGCCACTGTGCCTGCCTAGAACTTGTAAAATGCAATAAGTAGGTATATGGGTAGAGAGACAGGTGGATGTAATCTACTTCCTTTTCAGTAGCCCTTTGATAGCATTTCATTCTAAAAGCTAATAAAAAGTTAATCACGCTGGGCGTGGTGGCTCCTGCTTGTAGTCCCAGCTACTCCAGAGGCTGAGGTGGGAGGATCGCTTGAGCCCAGGAGTTCTAGGCTGTAGTGCTATGCCAGTCAGGTTTCCACACGAAGTTTGGCATCAATATGGTGACCTCCTGGGAGCCGGGGACTACCAGGTTGCCTAAGGAGGAGTGAACCAGCCCAGGTTGGAAATGGAGCAGGTCAAAACTCCCGTGCTGGTCAGTAGTGGGATCGTGCCTGTGAATAGCCACTGCACTCCAGCCTGGGCAACATAGTGAGACCCTGTCTCTTAAAATAAATAAATAAAAATAAAAAAAAGAAAAGTTAATCACCACAATGCCATTGTCAGGGAGGGAGTAGCCAGTCTCCTGACTGGCTTTGAAACAGCAGCCAGAGGGCAGGACAATGAGCCCTGCCCTTCTCAGGATGAAGCATAAAGAAGAGGTTGTTGAGGGAAGAGAGTTTGGATATGTACTGTTAAGGATCTTTAGACATGATCTGGAAGAAGGAGTTCACAGTGAAATCAGGAAACTGCTCATCTGCCAGAAGTTTCCCATGGTGAAGGAGGAGTCCAACAGCTCTTTCCAGAGCACAGGGTGACATCGCACATGCACACTTGTGGACAGAGAAGCAGCAGCTGTGTTTTGCCAATGGCAAATGTAGAGACCAAAGATTTAAATGGCATGTGTAAAATAAGGAGCTTGGAGCCATCGCTTATCCTTTTCTTAGGATAGAAGTCGGGAGTTTTCCTAGAGTCTCAAGGGGCAATAAAATTGTTGCATATTATTAAGAGAAATAGAGTGAAATGAAAAGGTGTTATAGGTCAAGTGTGCTAGATTTTGAAATAAGGGGATAAAAAGACTGCCTTTTAACACCAGAGAGAGAGACGTTTTGGGATGAATCAAAGTATTATTTGACCCACAAGATTATGAATTTATGAGGTTCATTGTCCGTAGACCAGTAGTGGTGGGGGTGATTTTGTTCTCCAGGGTGCAACTGGCAGTGTCTGGAGATGTTTGGGTTGTACCTTGGGTGGTGTGGGGTGGGGGCATTGGTGGGTTGAGGGCACGGATGCCACTAATCATCTACAGTGCTCCCCACATCAAGGGATTGTCAGTAGAGCTGAGGTTGAGAAGCCCTACCCTAGAAGAATGAGGAGCAAATATCAATAGACTCAAGAAAGACGGAACCTTCCTTTGTTAGGGGAGCTTGGTGGTTAGGCAACTATGCCACCTTGCTCCCGGCTGAATAAACCCTCCTTCCTCCTGTTAAAAAAAAAAAAAAAAAAAAAGGATTGGGCAGAACCATTAATAGTCTCAGAGAATGAGGGAAGTACCTAATCCCATGGTTAATGTTGGGAGGATGGTGCTCTCTTATGATGTGATCAGCACGTCAGAGATTGTGGGGACAATTCTAGACCACCTGGACTCACCAGCCTGGTTCTGTGCATCCTTCCTGCTCCTTTACCCCAGAGAAGACGTAGAGTGAGATCAAGCAACCTGCTACTCCACACAGGAACTCTCCACTGTCCCTCTTCCCATCAACAGAGAGCACTGTGGTGATTCTGGTCCCCCGGATGCCTTCCAGAGCTTATTATGAGAATTGGAATAAATCCTGAGTGACACAGTCAGGATTCAGTGACGTGAGAGAGGACATTTAGAAGCACAAGCTCCTGCAATGTGAATGGTTTCTGTTATCTTTCAGGTGGTAAATGTGTCGAGGCTGGAGGGAGATGACAATCCTGTACAGCTCATCTACTTTGTGGAGGATCAAGATGGAGAAAGACTCAGTGCAGTCAGGTCTTCGGACCTGATTAACAAGATGGACCTCCAGAGAGCAGCCATTATCTTGGGTTACCGAATTCAAGGCGCCATTGCCCAGCGTAAGTGCCTGAGGTGCTGGGCTCCAAAGCCAGGCTCGTCCTGACAGTGAGCTCTAAATGTGAATCATTCTGATGTGTGTAAACCCTGATGGTGAAGTGCCAGTTGTTAAAATTCATTCACCAAGACCTTCTTTATTTGGATTTCAGTTGTAGGTTTAGCCTACACTGCTGTTTTTTCTACCTAGCGCTTTACGTGTGGGGTGTTACAGTGATTTATACTACCTTACATCAGCTTTAATATCTGTCCTTCATTCTTCTACTACTTCTTTTTTTATTATTATAAATTTTGTCTTAGGCAAAGTAATGTGTTTGCTCTGTATTTATTCCAGAATCTTCTGTGTCATATTTTGAACATTGGCAGGGACAGTGAGTCATGCAGGAAGCGGAGAGGTACACCCTGGATTTACTGGCTTCCTTCAGGGTCTTTTAACACAAAGAAGTCCTTGATCCTTCCCCTCTTCAATCCTGTTTCTCTCCCACCTATCCTCACCCCACTCTGCAGTGTAGACAGAGGTGTTCTGATGTTTCTTTATTATTGTTGGAAGATTTCACTCCTGCCCGCCTGGCCCTGGCTGCTCTCAGTACTTTCCACCACACAGATTTTGAATATTTAAAAGTGAAGGAAAAGGAGGCACATGGAATGGTGTATTTTTCTAAGTATGCCTTTAGGGCATGAATCAGATCCCTGTTTTTTTTTTTTTGAGAAAAGGTCTTGCTCTGTCACCCAGGCTGTAGTGCAGTGGTATAATCATGGCTCACTGCAGCCTCAACCACCTCAGCTCAGGTAATTCTCCTGCCTCAGCCTCCTGAGTAGCTAGGACCACAGTCACCATCACCACACCTGGCTATTTTTTTCTTATCATATGTAGAGACAGGGTCTTGCCATGTTGCCCAGGCTGGTTTTGAACCCCTGGGCTCAAGCGATCCTCCCACCTTGACCTCCCAAGCTGTTGGGATTATAGGCATGAGCCACCGTGCCTGGCCCAGACTCCTCTTTCAATGTCAGTGGTTTTCCTTTATGATTCTGCAAGCAGTCTTGGTAAGAGCTTGGTGCAACTCACTCCCAGCAATAAAAGGAGAAGTAAACATTTAGAGGGAATCCAGCATCAAAGAATACAGAAAAACTCTCTATAGAGAACATGTAGGAGATAAAGGCAGTTTTTTTTTTTTTTTTTTAAAAAAAGACCACTTTAAAATTATCCTTGGTAGTGGAAGGTTTTTGTGAAATTTGTACTTGTCCCTGGAGCCCAACCAAGATGAGAGCTGATGGGCATAATTTTTCTGTTTTATGGAAGATGATAGGAGAGTATAAGCAAATAATCACTGGCGTTTGTGTTTGTGTATTTGGGATATGATCACATATGGATGTGTTCTTCTCCAAAGCAGTGAGGAAAAAATAACAAAAGCACTTCCTACATTTCTTCATATATGCTATTCCTGATTGTAGATGTGTCCTATTCCTGATTGTAGATGTGTCCTATTCCAGCCAAGTACTTGACATTAAATAGTTCATTGCAGTAGGATATGGGCACCTTTCAGATCTGATCTTACACCTCTTTTTCTCAGTTTTGTACTGAAAACCACATGGGTAAAGACCATGGGATCTCAGGGTTGGCAATTGAAGGAAACTTCAGCCAACAACAGGGAAAGTCCAAAGGCAGCCCCATGACCCTGGTGTTAGGGCCCGGTTTGATCAAATTCTGTCTCATCAGGGTTTTCCTAGGTTAGAATAAAAAGATGCCTCACACCTGAAATCTCAGTACTTTGGGAGACAGAGGCAGGAGGATCACTTGAGCCCAGGAGTTCAAGACCAGCCTAGGAAACATAGCAAGACCCCATATCTACAAATAATAATAATACACAAGCTGGGCATGGTGGGGCATGCCTGTGGTCCCAGCTGCTTGGGAGGCTGAGGCAGGAGGATCACCTGATCCCAGGAGGTCAAGGCTGCAAGTGAGCTTGATTATACCACCACACTCTAGGCTTGGTGACAGACGGAGACCCTATCTCAAAAAGAAAAAGCAAACAGCCACCCTCCCAGAAGAACTAAGAAGAGTATCTGGTTGTCTCAGCTTCTCAGTTTGATTCTATCCCTACTTCTGTATTGACAGTTGCTTTTATGCAAAATGAGCTGCATATATAAACTATATTCAGCCCAGGTGAAAAAATACAAGGTTTTCACACTTTGTCGCTTTTTACCACATCCCATGCAGCCTCTGCTCTAATTTGTGCTTTTTTTCCTGATGCGTTTGATTTAGAATGCCCGCACCCTCCCTTGTTACTCCCTTAGGTGTCTAAACCCAAAGTTGAACCAGCACCAAGAACCTTTTTTGTTATTACATCATAAGACATAGTCCCTGCCCGTGACAACTAAGATGTTTTTGAAGAGACAAGACTTGGCGGCAAGACTGGATGAATGAGCGCACAAGTGTAGCACATCACGGAGGACCCATTTATACGACCAGACTGGATGATTGAGCGCACAAGTGTAGCACACCACGGAGGACGAATTTATAAGACAAGTCTGTATGAATGAGCGCACAAGTGTAGCACACCATGGAGGATCCATTTATACGACAAGACTGGATGAATGAGCGCACAAGTGTAGGACACCACGGAGGGTCCATTTATACGACAAGACTGGATGAATGAGCGCACAAGTGTAGCACACCACGGAGGGTCCATTTATACAAGTCTGTATGAATGAGCGCACAAGTGTAGCACACCATGGAGGATCCATTTATACAACCAGAAGCATTTTAAATGAGCAATAAGGCACCCTGTGCAAAACAAAGAGCTAGTGAAGGACATTGGGGTGGCTGAGGAGTTGAAGTACTACTATCCTAGGCCATGGAAGAGGAGGAGTGGAGGCAGGGTGGGGTGGGGGTGGCAGCAGGGTAGGGAGTGGCGAATCCAAAATGAGTAAGATTTGCTTCCTGTAAAGTTGACAACTGGTACCTTAAATAATGCCATTTCGATAAAGAGTTATGTTTCAAAGGTTTAGGAAGAGAGACAGGTGGGGCAATGAGAGCAGTGCCTATGGGACACTTACTAGGATTTAGTTTCCAAATTAACACATTGAAGCTTATTAACTCATTTCAGAAGACATAAGAATCATCTTCCTTCTTTTTTTTTAATACGGAGTCTCACTCTGTCACCCAGGATGGAGTGTAGTGGCATGATCTCAGCTCACTACAACCTCTGCCTCCCGGGTTCAAGTGATTCTCCTGCCTCAGTCTCTCCTGAGCAGCTAGGATTACAGGCACGTGCCACAACACCTAGCTAATTTTTGTATTTTTAATAGAGACCGGGTTTCACTATATTGACCAGGCTGGTCTTGAACTCCTGACCTCGTGATCCACCTGCCTCAGCCTCCCAAAGTGCTGGGATTACAGGTGTGAGCCACGAACTGCAGCCCCTTCTTTTTTTATTGTGGTCAAATATACATCATTAAATGTACCAATTTAGCACTTTGAAGTGTGTACATTCACAACAACGCTGTGTGACCATCACCACTATCCATTTCCAGAACTTTTCCATCATTCCAAGCAGAGCTTTCTATGAATTTTTTCTAGCTACCTCATATAGGTAGAATCATACATTGTTTGTCCTTTCATGACTGGCTTGTTCCATTATCATGATGTTTTCAAGGCTCCTCTATGTAGCAGAAAGTATAGATTTTCATTTCCTTTTAAAGCTGAATGATATTCCGTTGTATGGCTGTACCACATTTTGTTCATTCATTCATCTATGGATGGATATTTGGGTTGTTTTCATGTTTTAGGCTGTCGTGAATAACACTGCTATGAACATCAGCATCTCTGTCATTTTTCATTGCTGAAGGGGAAACGACCAGTTGCTACGCTGGTTCCCGTGTCATATCTCCTCACTGTTTTGCTTTGTGTATGGTGCTAGTACGAAAGGAAATTATTCGTGATTCATCTATTTGATCATTTTCCCTTTCCCCCACTAGGACGTAAGCACCTTGAGGGACTTCACTTGTTCATTGTTGAGTTGCAACTTTCCAACTGTGTCCAGCACACTTAATAAACTTTCGTAAACACGAGAAACTTGTAGTGAGCGGAGGGAGAAGGAGGTGCAGGGCTTTCTTCCATAAACCCCGAGTGGAGATGCATGTGCTCTATGCGATCTGGGAGGTGTCAGTCCTGCTGTACTTGATGCAGTGGTCAGGACTGTGTTCTGGAGACATAGCTGTTTTTCTCTCCACTTCTGAAGGGAACTGCCTTTGTACAGAGTTGTACAGAACCAGTTTTGGCATGGAAGTGCCCTGCAGTGAAAAGTTAGGGGTGAGCTGGTAGAAAAACTAGAAGTCAGGAGACCAGGAATTAACCTAGCGGTGGTGTTAATTCAGCAACGTACCTTTGGATATATCACATGTATCACTGTGATCCCTGATGTATTCTAGCTGTAACCTTGTATATTGTGTTTCTCTGTTGGTCACATTTCCTGTCATCAGGAGATTAAAACCTGGAACCAGTTATCTGGAGCTGAAATGTCAGGGACTTCTGAGTTTCTCATAGAAGAGACATGCAGTCTAGGAAATGAGTGAAGAAGGAGTTATTGAAAGGTCTTTCTTCCTTGCCCACAGCTGTGGACAGAGTGAAGAGGCCGTCTCCCGAATCCCAGAGCAACAACCTGTGGGTCATTGTTGGCGTGGTCATCCCGGTGCTGGTGGTGATGGTGATTGTTGTCATCCTCTACTGGAAACTCTGCCGCACAGACAAGCTGGACTTTCAGCCTGACACCGTGGCCAACATTCAGCAGCGTCAGAAGGTAAGGGGCAGCCTCTTCCGCCAGTGTTCCCATAAGCTGTTTTGCGGGGCAGGGATAGGATGAGTTTAGGTTCTTGATACTGAAAGATGGGGAAAAGGCCTGTTATAGAGATCTTCTGGCTTTAATGGTGGCATCACTTCGCCTTGTTTCTGCTTCCTGAAACTTTGCTTCTGGGTGAGTAAATATAGTCTAAGAACGTGAAGCTGTGTACAAGCTTATCCATGATATGCACTCTGGGTTCTGTGATTTTTATTTCATTTTATTTTTTTTGAGACAGAGTCTGGCTCTGTCACCCAGGCTGGAGTGCAATGGCATGAGCTCGGCTCACTGCAACCTCTGCCTCCCAGGGTCAAGCAATTCTCCTGCCTCAGCCACCGAATAGCTGCCAGTACAGGTGTGTGCCACCACACTTGGCTAATTTTTGTATTTTTAGTAGAGATGGGGCTCTGCCATGTTGGCCAGGCTGGTCTCGAACTTCTGGCCCCAAGATTTCTTGCCCTCCCAAAGTGCTGGGATTATGGGCGTGAGCCACCGTGCCAGGACAAATTCTGATTTATTTTACCCCTGGATATTTTCGGAGAACAGGAGCCAAGGGAGACTTTCTCAGATCTGTTTATTTCATATGCCACTCCACAGGTCAGCTGCTTTATTTTCTGTTCACCATATTTGGAAGCCTACTTACCCACTTTGATCCTTAAAAACCAAACAGTACATACCTTGAACATTTTAACTTAAAATATATGAATGGACATTTATTTGCCAATCCTTCAGCATTTCCCAAGTCTTGTTTTGCTTTGTTTTGAGTGTCGGTTTACTGGGAGGAATCATGTATGGTCTTTCTTGTAATAAACAACACCCATAATATATCACTTTCAGGTTCCAGTTTGGGTTTCTTTAGAGAAGAGCAAAACTACCTGAATACAAAGTTCTCTAGATTTTTTTAATACCGTCCTCCACTCCCTGTCTCCTAACTTTGCAGACTTGTGAGTTGATTCACCTACATCTAATTTGACAGCAGATTTTTTTAAGTAACCCGTCTTTCCTAATGTCTTTCCAAAGCATTCAACTTAGTTTTTATAGAAATAGCAATTTTCTTTTCCCACATATATTTCAGCAGTTTCCATAGTATTTGAGGGTCACATCAGGTTTCAGAGCAAAGAAATTGATTTTTGGTCAACATCTGGCTCACCTGGTATGAGCAAAAACATGCTAGAGGCCTAGAGGAGAGCTTACTAGCACAGCATAAGTATCAGTCAGCCTGTTTACCAAGGGAGTGGAATGTGGTAGTCAGTCCACTGTTAGTAACAATCTACTGGATTAAATGAACCCTTTGTGGGTCTCCCAGATTTGGAGGACTCATTCCGCTTTCAAAGCTTGATAAAAAAGCAAAAGGCAAAAAACAAAGAATAGGCCAGGCACAGTGGCTGACACCTGTAATCCCAGCACTTTGGGAGGCCAGCGTGGGCAGATCACAAGGTCAGGAGGTTGATACCAGCCAGGCCAATATGGTGGAACCCTGTGTCTACTAAAAATACAAAAATTATTATTTTTTATTTTTAAAATAAAAATATTTTTTTTTATTTTTAAAATAAAAATATTTTTTTTTATTTTTAAAATAAAAATATTTTATTTTTATTTTCAAGCAACTCTTCTGCCTCAGCCTCCCAAGTAGCTGGGACTACAGGCACAGGTGTGATGGTGTGTGCCTGTAGTCCCAGCTACTTGGGAGGCTGAGGCAGAAGAGTTGCTTGAAACGGGGAGGTGGAGGTTGCAGTGAGCCAAGATCGCGCCACTGCACTCCAGCCTGGGTGACAGAACGAGACTCCGTCTCAAAAAATAAATAAATAATTAAGTAAATAAACAAAGATTAAAATATTGCCTTATTTATTGTTAAACTTTATTTTTGTTGTCTTGGTATGAAAAGTTCTGTATTTACAAACCTAGACCTGTTGAATGAAACAAAAAATGCATTACTTTAAAATTTATTTTGCTTTTGTAAAAGAATATTTTTTTGGTATGAATTAGCCAAAAAATGCAAAATCGTGATTAAATTGCAAGTTTATGGCTGTCAAATACATTAAAAACATTTGATACATTAATATTATGCTTGTAACCTACTTGCGTTCCTTATTTACGTAGTCTGCTAGGTTTTTTGGTTGTTCTTGGGACGCAGGTGAATGGCATGGAGAAACCTGGAAGAAAAGGTGCTTGGTATACTAAATGATTCACAGTGTGAATTTCATCTTCAAAAAGATCAACAATAGGCTTGGAAATGTTTTTGTTCTGGTGAAGAGTGTTGTTACAGAGAGTTAAGCCGCATAGACAGGCGGTTATGTATTTAGGTCTTTTGTGGGCCACATTTTCTAATGTCAGCACTGCCTTGGAAGTCCATCTATCATCTGTTACTTCAGGAAACTATCAGAGGACAGCGTCTCTTGGGTTCAAAACAGAATATTCCCCAAGCTTTCTCCTTCTCTCACTTTTACTTCCTAAGCATTTTCAGGTCCCAGATATTGCTGTGAGTCAAACGAACAGAGTTTCAGATGGAACTTCCAGCGCTTAGAGTTGCTTTTTCTTCCAGGGCAGCAAAGATCTGCACGTACATTCTGACAACGCGTTTACAGAAAAGGCCCTGCAGGGAGGATTCCCCAAAAGATGAACTCTCTTCTGATACTGTTAAGAGGGCAGCGCCTTGCCAGTGTTGTAGAAGCTCAGGCTTGTTTTGCTTGGCACAGGAACCTGCCCTATAGATTTTGTCATGTGTTTATAATGATGCTCTCCATTTAGTTTTAAAACAAATGGCTTTACTTCATATATGTTTCTTTTAAGGCCATGTGGCCATAGTGAAGGGCCTCTAGCCTCGTCCTCAGGGTAATTTGCAGAGATGCCACCCTCCCCTGTGACTTAAAGAACTCTTTCTCCTGCTCATGTGGCTGTTGTCTCTGTCTCCATTCTGCTCACCCCACCTTCTGATGCGCCTCCCTGCTCCTCTCTGAAATCCTTCAGCAAATCCCAGAGCTGCAAACATCTGGAAGCAATAAATTGCTGACCTAAAATCTTACACCCCCTTCCCCTTGTAATGAGAAAGAAACCTCTTCAGATTGTCTGGGAGTAGATTAATTTTGAAATATGATAGGAGGGAGAGGCCATTCTGTCTTGTTTTGAAGCATGGCCTTTGCTTATTTTCAGTAATAAAGAAAACCCACGTAGCTTTTTTTTATCGGTATTCTCTGTCATTTGTTACTATTGCCTGAAAAACTCCAGCTTGGATCTTCTTCATCATGAATGGCATTGGCTGGATGCCACTGGCCTCATGGAAACTTGTTCCTTCTGATGGGAGATAGTCTACACCTCGTTATTGGTGTCAGAGCCGAGCTCCTGACTGCCCTTGGTTGCTTCTAAAGAGCAGCACTTTGAGCAACCGGCTGGAGCTGCCTCCAACACTGGGTGTGACTCACCAAACATTGAGCATTTGCTCTGAGCCAGGCCGGATCCGGCTCAGTTACCAACACAAATAGCACGCGATCTCTGCCTTCCAGGGCTTTAGTAAGGGAGAAGGTCAAGCCATCCAGAAGCAGACATCCAGGAGTATAAGGATGTCTAGAGAACACAGAGGAGGGGTACAGGCCCCTCACAGTTGTGGGGTACCTGCACCCTCTTCGAGGAGGTGACTCCAGGGCTGAAGCTTCATGGTAGAGATGAAGGTGGGCCCAGCAGGGGAGCAGCGGGTAGCTCAGGAAGCTGGAGCAAAGGTCATAAAAAAAAGGGTACAGCCAAAACTCAGGTGGCAGAGAGCCAGGCCCTGGGGGGTTCTCAGGACATAGAAGGGATTGCAAATGACACTGTAGGCAGTGGGCAGCCATTGAAAGGTTTTCAGCAGGGAGAGCAGCTTGAATACATTTACATTTGGAACAATCCCTTCGGGGGGCAGTGTGGACAGTGGATTGAAGAGAGGCTCTGTGAGCATTTTGTTCCATCTCAGCCAAGGTCAGCTCACTCCTGCAGTTGCTGTTTGATTCTCTGCAAAGGTCCCCATCACACCTAATGTGTAAGTGGTCTTGGGCCAACCACAGCCCGCCCACCGTGCCGCCTGTGGGTGGGAGAATCTGGGAGCACTGCTCTCCCAAACTCCGGACCTCAGGGTTACAGGAGTCCCTGGGGGAGGGCTGCCCTGAAGACAAACAGATGGCAATAACTCTGCCTTGTCTCCACCTTCTAAATGGAAACAGCATGGTGGCTGTGGTGACTTTTCACAAATGACATCAATCACGTAATACATGCTTACAATGGCCATGGCTACATGATGGCACATTTTTATTCAGACACTTTTGGGATTTGCTCTGTTTCTATTGTCATCTTAACTGCTCCTTCCCAGGGGCTCAGGCTAACCAGAATACTGGGGGCTTCACTGCATCCGGTGCCACCTGGGCTGTATTGCATTCATGGTCGACATATTTACAGTCACTGGGCATCTCTCTCTTCTTCCTTGGCTGACCTGCCCACCAGCCAGTCTCCTTGGCTTGTTGGCGACATATTCCAGAGGGGCACAGATTCTGTGGCCTCTTCCCTCTGTGATATATGAAAGAAAGAAAGAACAAAAGAGCCATCCTTCTTCAGAAATAACTTGGTCCTAATATGAATATTGAATACTCTAATTAATCTTGACTCTTCTTTTAGAAAATACTGATTTAACCTTATGCTGAGTGAGGGAGGGAGCTGGACACATCATACACCAGCCAGACCGAACTCTAGATTCTATTTTAAAAGTAGAAAATCCAGTAAAAGTGATCTGGCAAATAGGAGTGAGACAAAAGAAGGGAGGAGGGGCAGTGTTACTCTAGGTTTTCCCTTTTGTGTGTAGATGCTTTTGTTCTGTGCATCATAAGCACAGATTGGTCGCCACATTTCTAGTGGTATAGAAGGTGATGGCTCACTCCGCTTGTGAGAAGTGCAAGGATCTAATGGATATATTTAAAGATGTTGGTCAGAATCAACCATAA